AATGTTTTGCCTTCGCCCTAAACTTCTCAATCAATTTTTTAAGTAGGAAAATAGCCTCAATAGTCGACCTTCCTGCTAAAAAACCAAATTGGTTTTCAGATACACTCGTTTTAGCCTTAGTCGTTTTAGGTCTCATCGATCAAATTGGTTTTCAGATACACTTGTTTCTTACTTTAGGAGCAAGATTAATGTAGCTGAATGGGATAAGGCTTGGATGATGATGATGATCATTAAAAAGTAGAATTAATGTTATAAATATGGAGTAAAAAAGAGATTTCAAGTCCTAAAAATGGTGCACCTTTGCAACATATTATTTGGACCACCCATTTTCAAGAGTGTGATGCTTTTATAGATATGCTTGATTTGAACAAGTTTTGGAATTTAAAATCTTATAGTTAGAGATAAAAATAGATTCTTACACCATCTTAAGAATTTTTTACACCAAAATTACATCTCATGATAAAGTTTAGAGGTGCATATTTCTTTGATGGGTGTGGTTTCTGTAAGGTTGCAACCTTAAACAATCCAATTAAGGCACACCTCCACATTTTATTATAACATGTAATTTTGGCATAAAAAATTCTTAAGGTTATCCGAAAATCTATTTTCATATCTAATTATAAAATTTTGAACTCCAAATAAAGTTAAAATTAAGTAGATTTATAAACATATGAAAATCTTGAAAATAGACGGTCTAGATAAAGTGTTGTATGCATTATTTCTAGGACTCAAAATCTTTTTTCCTTTTCACATTCATACATCTCGATGATCAATTAGAGAGTTTTTCAACATTAAAACAATTTCTTTCTACAGATTTTTGAGGTGCATCCTTAATTCTACATTTTAAGTTGGTTGTGGAAGTTGCAAGCAAACCACACCCTTTTTTATATTATAAAATGGATGTAACTTTTAAACAATTCATAAGATCTGCGGTGCGATATTGTAAAATGGATGTAACTTTTAAACAATTGATAAGATCTGCGGTGAGACATGGACGATTGAAAATCTTATTCGATTGCCTATAGAATGGGTTTCAAGTCATTCGGGTGAAGTTTTCCTGGGGAAAAAAAATCTCGCTAATTTTTGGGTAGGGCATTTTCATACTTTGGTGACTAGAGTGTATGGCAGCTGATCTACCTTTTATTAGCCATTCTTTTTAAATTGTTATACTTCATTAGCCATTCTTTTTAAATTGTTAATGCTTCACAGTGCCATGAAACCTAGATCGACCGGGCGAACTGGTAGTCTGGGAAACCGATATGCAAAACCGATCCGGATCAATTGCGTGTCTCTTTAACAGAAAACATTCCATTTGCAGAGTGAATACATACCAAAAAATTCAGGTTAAGGTTTTAGGGGGATTGAGGCAACCTCTACTTCCTTCCAAATTTTGATCTATTGATTCCAGGTTCTAAGAGCTGGTCCTGGTGTAGCGGTATGGAAACACCAGGATTGTGGAGAACCATTTAAGTAGTCTACAACCCTTGAGTTGACAAAACTTCCCAAGTCGTTACGAATACGAGAACCATAAGATTCTAAAATGGATTTTTCTGATAACCATGGATCTGTCCAAAAATTAATTGTCCTTCCATTCCCAATAATCCGTCGAACATTGTAGCGCGAGAGAGACAACCCCATTTGAATGTCTTTCTATGCATAGGAGCATGACTTCCTATCAACTTCCCAAATTGAACAATTTCTGAAGTACCTGTGCCTAAAGAAGTGAGCTATAAGAGAAGACGGCTTAGCCAGAATCCTCCATGCCAACTTCATCATGCATGCATTATTGAACTCATAATATCATGAATTCCAAGTCCCCCCTCTTTCATTGGCAAACATACATTTTTCCACTTTACCAGGTGAACCCCTTGAGCTGTACTAGCCCATAAAAAATTTCTCTGAAGCCGCTCTAACATACTGCATATGCGCTTTGACAATATAAATGATATAACCCAAAAAATGGCTGATGAACTTAGCACTGATCTCAACAATTGTAACTGACCTGCATAAGAGAGGGATAAAGCCTGCCATGTTCCTATCTTGTTAATGAATTTCCCCACGAGATTCTGACAATTATGGTGCTTTAAGTTACTACGGAACAGAGGCATTCCCAAGTATCTTCCTCGAAGAGAACCCTCACCAAACCCCAATTCCTTCAAGATCAAATGTTTTGCATTCATGGAAACTCCAAAAAAGAAAACCTTACTTTTAGTTCCATTCAATTTTTGCCATGTGGTATTTCCAAACAGACATAGAATAGAATTCATCTGTTTTGTAGCTGTTAAAGAAGCCTCACAGAAAATAACTGCATCATCGGCATAAAATAGATGTGATACCCCATAGTCACAACCAGAAGGAAAAGCCATACGAATAGTATCTTGTAGTATTGCCTGATCCAACTGCTTACTTATGAAATCCATTACCAACAAAAAAAGATACGGAGATAGAAGGTCCTCCTGCCGTAAGCCTCGTTTTCCTCTAAAATATCCCATTGGGGAACCATTATGCAACACCGAGAATGAAGGAGCAATAATAAAATGACGAATCCAAGAAACAAAAAGATCTGGGAAACCCAAAGCATATAACTTCGCAAGAACAAAATCCCAAGAAACCCGATCATAGGCACTACTTAGATCCAACTACAAACACATCTTAAGATTGATTGAGTATTTATAACATAATGAAATAAGCTCATTGGCCATCAATATATTATCTGTGAACAATCTCCCCTTTAAAAAAGTAGCTTGCTTGAAATCAATCAGAGTAGGTAATACCTCCCTCAATCTATTAGACCTCAATCTATTAGACCACTATCTTTTTCTCACATATTGGTCCCCCTATTCTTTCTTATTGCAGGTCTTCACAGAATCACAGAGATTGCAGCCTAACATTTTGAGTTCTAGCTATAAAAAATCATTTTCAGTTCTATCTGTTTCTCACTATAAATTAACACCAACCAACTCTTTTAAATGAAACACATTCTCATGATCATTTGGATACATTTACTCATTCCATTGTTTCTCTCTAATAAAAGGAAAAAAGATTTGAAATCAGGCGATCGAGAATGTGTTGTTGATTAGGCGGAAAGTCCATAAAATTTCTTGAATGTTATACACTTTTACCGATTGGATTTCACATCCAATGGTTAAAAATGATTGCGACCTCCTTGTATCAAAAATAAATAGTCTCATAGTCTATAATCCCTTACAAATATTAGGGTCTCATCTTTCCTTGTAAAAAGGTTTTCATTACTTATTCCAATGCAGATAGCACTGGCAAACGCTATTTGGTTCACCACCAACATATTGATAACCAGATTGTAAATAATTTAGTATTAGCTATATCCCGATATGTAGCGTAAGCCATACAGAAACTGCAAGGCGTGTTGAACCTCAAGTTAATAATTTAAGAATAAGGTAAAGGTACAAGCAGTTGTATACTTCATCAGAGAAGTAGAACTCATAAGAATATGATTAGGAAGTATCACCTCCTCTGGAAATTCAAATATTTGGTGCATAAACAGAAAACAAACAAAAACAGAAAAATAAAGATAAACTGAACTGCAACAGCTATACCTAGAAAATTAGCTTCAAGTCCGAAGTAAACTTCAAGAAACTCTTTGACGCTCTGGCTTGCTTGCCCAGGTATATTGATTGTCTCAGTTCGATCTCCCAACTGAGAAACCATCAAACCGTAAACAGTCCAAGCTGCAGGATTAACCCAATAAAACCATCTCCACCACAGAGGAATCATCTGCAAAATGACCAATCTAATTATAAGAATCTCAAAAACAAATAAATACACCCACACAAACAAGCGCGCGAGCGCGCACACACATACATACAACCACTTACAGGCCTCGCAATGAAAAAGCCAGAGAAAATGTTCCATAAGATAAAGAAGAAGAAGGAGATCAGGGCGGCCAACTCTTGTGTTGGAGTTAATGCTACAGCCGTCATCCCAAAAAGAGTGAGGTACAAGACGCTTAGTAGTACAAAGAAGGTAAACCATAAGAACTTTGCCAACATCCAAGAGAAACCAATCAACGGGTATATGATCAAGACAAAGACTTGAACTTGGATCACAATATATGGGATCTCAATGACCACCTGCAAAAACAAAAGAATCTAGTCTCCTTGATCATTCTAGAATTTCTAAATTCAAAACTATCTAAAGATTACAAAATATGCATAGGTTAATATGCATTCCATGGCCAATAACCCAATGAAACAATGGATAGAAACAAATCCCTTCGAAATTCTTCTTTGATGGAATAGAGACACCTAGTTCACAGCTTTCACACAATGTTCCCATCACGTTTTACAGAATGTGCAGAAATAATTGAAATGACCATATATCTTGTAAAAAAATAGTCAATGGTTTAAATTCAAAGAATTTAAAATGCTTCATTTTTTCATTTTGCAGGCTATATCATAGAAGAATTTAATCATAAGAGCTTGAGAATACCCATCTTAAAGGACGGAGGATGGAAGAGGGAATGAGGTTAAGTCTAGGAAGGTGGCAAACAGGTTGTTCTTCGTTGTTAAGAAGGGCAAACAGGTTGTTTCTCAACAATGAAGAACTTACCAGTCTCAAGCATTTTCATAAGATTAGGATTCTTGGTAAAATGAAAAAACTGCATATTGACCAAAAAGAAAATGCAAAATGCATATTGGTCAAACTCTAACAAGGAGATAATGCTCCGTCCTCACTTATGTGGTTTGCATCTCAGATTCCCAAGCTATGACAAACATGCCCATTTAATCACATCTCTGAGCACTTTCTTGATTTTATCACAAAGGAATGATTTTCTAAGTGATCATACCTGAGCAATGGTATAAGGCATGGCTGAATACATTCCGGCTGATCTCTCACGATAGAAAACTGTTCTCCCCAGCCCGACTATGGGTTGAACTGCAGTAGTGTTCGTGAAGCCTAAGAATAAAGCCGACGCATATGTTGCACCAAGAGTGTTCAGGAGATCTTGTTGCTTGCTTCTATATATGAACAAAGAATAAGAATGATATATGACAATGATAATCACTCCTAAAAACAAAGGACAATGATATATTGGTTAGTGTAACCTAAAATAAAGAGCAACCATTTGATGTAAAAGTAATATTAAAATCCACCGAGTATTGTGTTGGTAAATTAAACTCACAGGTCCAAAGCAACACCCCTAAATATGGTTCCAAATAGAACAGATACAGTGACTGTGATGAGGAAGCGGATGGCATTGTGTTCAGGGTTCCTCCAATAGGACCAATGTTGTTTCCATAAGCATGCCATGCACTGAGTCAAGAAGCCGTGAGAATGCATGCAATCGAGACAAAGGTCTTTTGAACCTGTTGAAGGCCTACTCAATCCCTCTATGATTTGCTGGTATTTCCTGGCAGTCAAAAGACAGTCAATAAGAATTCGGAATCTATACATATTTTCAAGATAGGAATAACATACCCATATAAACAGGAGTTATGGTAAACTTGAGCAAAATCCACGTTAAGATTAGTCTCCATGGAAAATGAAGTTATGTCCAACATCCAAGCTGCTGGATTGTAACCATCCTTTATCTTAGGAATCCCTGGAAGAGCCTGAAAATAAATTGAAAAACTTTCAGCAAGTTTATGATTCAGGTCTAAAGAAATATATTATTATGGGGAATTTTCTCCCAATACATCACAAAGTTCACTTCATGGACTCTATAGTAGAAATTTTTCATACACAGTGCAAGAGATTGAAAGGATCTTAAATTATAGTACAAAGGAAAATTCAAAAAACAAAAAAGAACAAAAGCTAAAAGTAGTTTTATCTTACACCAAAATTTTGTCAATAAAACTAGGATGATCACCATGATTCCATGTCTCAGTTGAAACCTTGAAAACAAGAAAGCAATAATTTCCAAAAATACTCCCCATTTTCACCAAATCATAGATTATAACTAAGACATTCCAATGTGTGGAAGGTATCATGCAGTAGATTTCAATAGGTGACAAGATGAGGGAAAGTAGACATAGGTGGGCTGGTCATGTACGGCATAGACCCATTACAGTGCCGGTTAGGAGATGTGATTTGATTCAAGTAGAAGGCACTAAAAAGACATGGATGGAAGTACTGAAAAAAAATATGGGGACATGGATAGAAGTACTGAGGGTATAGCCCTTGCTAGAGCAGAATGGCAGAACATGATTCGTATAGCCAACCCCAAATAGTTGGGATAAGGCTCTGATGATGATGATGAATTTATTTTGTACCAGGTATTTATGTCTTTTAGACTTGGAAAGAATCTAGGGTAGTTTAGTCCTTTATTATTTTATTTAATTAGGGTATTTTAGTTCACTATGCTTGAGAAAACTTGATTAAAAAGGGGAGAGAAGGATGTCCAGTTCCTAGGATGTTTACTTTTTTAGAACTTTGTGAAAAATAAATAAATAACTCGAGAAGAAATTCCTGAACTAATTGATTGAAAGCCATAGAGGTGGCTCGGTTGCACCTCCAGGGTCTTCCCTTCCAAGATACTCTTACGTTTCTTCTTTTCTTCTTTCTCATTTGTTCTCCTCATTTCTTCCCTTTTCTTCCACTTTTCCCTTCTTCTATCTTTTCTTTCATTTTCTTCCCCATTTACTTCTTTTCTATCATTTTCTTTCCCTTCTTACTTCTTTTCTTTCTTTGAATCCTTTATCCTTTATTATTGTTCTCTTTCTCCCTTATTTTTTCTATTTTTTTTCTTCTTTAAACTTTGTTCTTTTCATAATCTTCCAAACTAGTAAAAACTTGGCATTAAAATTCCACTAAAATCTTAAAGTAACCCAAAGGTCGTCCCTAGAATTAACCATAAATAAAATCCTTTGAAACCCTAATTTCATACATAGAGTCCAAACCCTAATTTTTACACCCTATTAACTTCAAGGAATAAATAGGTTTCTTTTGAGGGAAAGCTAATAACTCTATTGATCATCCAACTAATAATGAAATCAACAAACTATACAAATTAGCCTTGAACATTAAAACGAATCCCCAATTTATCCAACTAATAAACATCTTTCAAGTACTTAGAAAACCTAAAACAATTTCAATTTTCCATATTTAGAACACAATGAAGAGAACATTCTTCCAAACCAGACCGAAGTAGAAGTAAACAGTCGGACCCGGACCTGGATCCCAAAAAATATTATGGGACCCAGACTAGACTGGACCCAAAGTCACCAGAATTGGACCCAGATTCAGACCCTAATGTGGGACCTGCCATTTGGACCTGACCCAAAACTCAAAAATCCATATCTTTAAATATATTTCATAAATTGGGAACCAAAAATATAATATGGGGCCCGGACCCAACCATACCAAGACTCAAATAGTGTTCGGGTCCAAGATTTGGATCTGAACCCGAAGTAGTCGAAAAAGATACAGGGACTTATGGCCTGTCTGAGGATATGGCCTTTAATGGAGAAGAATGGAGAACCAGGATTCATGTAACCGACCCTAATTAATTGGGAAAAGGGTAAAATGATGATGATGATGATGACCCGGACCCCGGTCGGGTCAACCCATCGGGTTCCGATTCAGGTCCAGGTCCATTGAAATCATATTCGAAATATTTAAAATATTGATAAAAATGATCTTATTATAGTGAGATAGAATGCACCTCAAAATAATGAATCAGCTTTTGAGAGAAATGACCCAAGGGTCCCCCATATATGACCTGCCCACCTTTTCTCATTAGTAATAGCTGCAAAAACAAATTACAACTTCAAACCAAGGTATGAAACACAAACATCGGGAAATAATCAATGATACACAACCCTATCCATCTTTATATACCTCATCGAAAGCTTCAAATATATCAATACCCGGCTGATGTATGGTGCAGACCACAGTGCGGCCTGTGTCAACAGTGTTCCTCACCGTCCTCATAACAATGGCAGCTGCCCTTGCATCAAGCCCAGATGTGGGCTCATCCATGAATATGATCGAAGGGTTTGCCACCAACTCAACAGCAATAGTCAGCCTTTTCCTCTGCTCAGTGGATAGGCCAGAAAGTCCAGGGATACCAACCAATGAGTTCCTTAATGGTTTCAATTCCATGAGACACATTACCTCCTCCATGAACATCTACGTAAGATGAAAGAGAGAACCAATTAACCAATTAGTGGAAGGCCATGAGAATGCCTGGCAGTTTTTAAATTGATAAAGAGCTCTCTCTATCTCTCTCTTTTTTTTTTTTTGGGGGAGGGGGGGTTGGGGGGGGATCTTTCCTGCCTACCTCAAGAGTGCCTGGGATCACTTTTAAGGATTGCTTTAGCATCACCCCTAGAAAATATGTATTTTATATCATATGTACTAGGAAACCTACTTACCCAGACATAGACATGGGCGTCCAGATCCAATGCATGTTTATGTGTTTAGTACTTTGGCATAGAAAGCCAATACAAAAAGACACGTCCACGCGGTTAGAATTTTATAGTAAAATAATACTCTTGACATATGTAAAAAGGGTTCACATTTATGACACAAATGTGGTTGGCACAACATTGGACCACATAAACTTAGCACTGGATGTCTTGGGTTCAAACCCCACCCTTGTGCTCTAAACATTTTTTTTAATATCCCCATGCTTGAAAGTGTCAAAACGTGAAGCTTCAACCAAAATGTAGTGTCTGTGTAATATAGCTCAGAAAATATGTCAAATAGGGGTGCTCTTGTAGTTAGAATTGACAATTTATCCAATCATATAGCATTTATCAAAAAAACGGAAAATACCATTTAAGGAGTCAAAACATACCAATTAACGTTAGAGGATCGACTTTTAATTTTCATTTCACTCAGATAACTTCTCAAAAAATATTTTCTAAAATGCCTAACTTGTACCTATTCAAGCTTGCAAACCCTGAACAAGCAGGGGTATTTTAGTAATTTAACCCACCTCATAGGCCCCATCCAAACAACGAGAGTACCGCTATTTGCTCAAGTTAAGTCAAATAACTGAAATTCCCCTGCTTGTTCAATATTTCCAATACTGAACGCGGGCAATTTGGGCAGTTTTAAACATATTTCTTTTTTTAGTGCTACTTGAATAAAATGAAAATTAAAAAATAAATTAATTGGGATCCATTGAGCCCTTTTATGATTTTCTAATAGGTTTTGACCCCTGATATTCTCGAAAAAAAACAAATAATCTAGTCATATATCTAATCATGATGGATCATAATTCCGTATTAAATGGATTCAGGATCCCATCTAAGTAGGATCCATGTCTCATATAGTCAAGAATAAGCTCCCACGAATGAATAACTCAAGGAACACGGAACCATGTTCCTGGAGCGGGATAGTCCCCAACCCTAGGGAAAATGCTCCCCATAAATATGCTCTCTCTTTCTCTCTCTCTCTCTCTCTCTCTCTCTCTCTCTCTCTCTCTCTCTCCAACATTTTCCACACAAAATGCACATGACATATATACATTTTAGGAGTTTCCTGACCACGAATCACTTTTCTTTGCATTATTCTAAAATGAATTTTGAAGTTCATATTTCATAAATGGTGCACTTACTTTCTGAGTAGAGGTTTCAATATGTCGAGGGAGACGAAGCCATGCAGAGTAAAGCAAGGATTCGTAGACGGTGACAAATGGAGAATGGATGTTGATTTGTTCACAATAGCCAGAAATTCTAGCAAAGGTTTCCTGGTTTTTTGGGTACCCAGAAATACTAATGTTTCCTTCTATATAACCCCCAGTTTTCCTTCCCGCCAGTACATCCATTAATGTGGTTTTGCCTGCACCAGTTACCCCCATTAATGCTGTTAAAACTCCTGGTCTGAAAGACCCACTCACATCCTTGAGCAGTTGTAATCTTTTCTCCCGAACCCCATACTTTTTCATCTCCTGATATAAACAAACTTGTGTAAGCTTCAGTGTCATTGCATGTTGGGGAGGAGGGAGATGGAGAGGGAGAAAGATAGAGGTTTTACAGCTGGCATGTCGACATAGTAATTTATATGGGTGAATGTGAGGGAGAATGGTTGGAAAGGTAGCACCATGCCTCTCTCACCAGCCCCCAAAGTCGTTGCTGAATGATCCACACATATGCCATAAGACAGACTTTCCTCATTGTCATTGGATTGAACTGGGGCACTAACTTGGCGCTTTCGAGGAGCTGAAACCATTCAATAACTGGTGAGCCATGACACAAAGCATGTGAAGGGGATATCATTGTATTAAAATAACTTATGTAGGTAAGAGGAGTGATCTACTCTCCCCTACTCCATTTAAAGCTGTTTCCCTCCTCTTCAGGTGTAGATTTGTAGCTATAGGGAATCAATCAACAATTTAAAAATTTAGACAACTATTACATATCTAAGATAGTCAAAGTAGGAGCAGGGAAAAGGCAAAAAGGCCTTCTGTTTTCCTTTCTTTTTTTTTTTTGGGGGGGCAGGGGGTGGGGTGGGTTTGGTTGGTGTTGTTGGAATTGTGATGCCTTTTGTCATTGATTTGAAATCTAGCAAGACAGGTATATAATTGGCATTGGTGGCTTTTTCTTTTAACTTCTTATGTGATTATCAGAACATCTGGAAATAGAAATTTTACTAACCATTTCTTGAGAGTTTAACTGGGGTATGGGTTTGATCTTGTACTACCATAATATTTTTAAAATATGCCACATTTTATTGGGGGAATTTAAAAGTTCCTCCAATTTTTGGTTAAATTTTGGCAAAATTAAGCTCTTGATAAACTGTAAGGCAGCGAAGACCTTCGTAGCTCTGTACCTTAAAATGGGTCTAAAAAAGAAACAATTAAAGGGGCTGAATGAAAATCAGATTCCAAAAGACACCCATGTTGGGTATCAATGTCCTCCTCTGTACATAGAAATATGGGATAGCCTCTGCTATAATCAGCGGATATTCTGAGAGTTCCTCCTGTAAATATTCAAAGGAACGTGGAAAAAAGGAGAAGAAAGTGAGAGAGAGGGTCAATGATGTACCTTGAAAATATCCCAAGGCTAGGATACATAAAACATTAAAGAGCAAAGAAAAGCCAGCTAGAGCTCCTACACATATCCAAAACCAATATTCCCCAGAAAACATTCCCCTTGATTTAAGGAAGGCCTTCCCCACTGTGCCTGCATTGATGTTCATGTCGTTCTTTGGCTATGACAAATACCACACATATATGGTTAGTCGATGACCTTGTGATAAGTTGTAAGTGATCAAAATTATGAAAGAGGTACATATGGCATGCAACAAGTTAAACTCTATGCAAACATATCCCTCTTACTTTCAAGACATTAAACTACCCCAGGGTATTATCGATTGATGTATATGACTGTAACGCATCATGTCCTAGCATAATCACCCAAAAGAAGAAATTGCATTTCCACCAAACCACCCTGTGAAATTGCATTGGATCTTACCAGGCTCCATCACTCATCCAAGAATTCATTAAGGGCGACACCATTCTGGGAATATGTCATTGGAGAAACCCAATAACCCCAAACCCACCATGAAGGAATAGTATCTGAGACAAAAAGAAAACAGCACTCATCCATTAAAAATTATGGGGAGAGAGAGATGGTTTAGTGATTATAACCCACTTCTTTCTAAAATTTATGAAGGGTGGAAAAATAAGATGGAGGAAGACCTTTGGATATAACAAAACCCCCAAGGACATAAATTGCAATGAGGAGAGCAGTTCCGAATGTGTTAGCAACAACCTGTGTCCTTCCAACCGCAGCTATGAAACGGAAGAGTCCTATTGACATCTGGTGTATAGAAAAGAATACAAGAAATTGTCGAAAAAACCTGCAAAAGAACAGTTGTCAAAAATGGAATCAACAAAAGTCATGAATTTTACTTATGCTACTGCTGAAAAGTCCCACGAATCATCAACATAAATGAAGCACGTTCCAGTATGTTGTGCTGAAACCCCCAAATGCCTGGATGTCAACACATAGGCCCTAAAGCATTTTGAAACAGTTTCAAAGTGGCAACATATCATCTTTATTGGAAAAGAGAAAGGTAAACATTGTAACCACATAACTAAATGTACTTCTCTAACACTATAACTAGATGTATCTATCTAACAGACTAAAGAATTAACATCAACAATAAAGAAATCTATGATACGCAAAATCCACGGTAAAGCAACCAAAAAAATGAACAAAAACAAAAGATTATAAGCCAGGCTAGATGAGGCTGCTGCCATACATTAACCACCCTAAAGCATTAACTCCCATCATTTCATAGAAAATTGTTTGTTTAAGATGGATGCAATCTTTTGACGGTAGGATTAGAAGCATAAATTATATCTGCACAAGTCTAAGGATGGTTTGGTAGTATTTCTAAATCCACCAAGGGTTTGTTTGGATATACTTGTTGACACTGACAATTCACTATTTCAATAAAATTACTCCTTGCAAAGAATTATTTCTAGTTTGGCGGAATTCATTATAAAGTTATTTGAGATAAACTTATAGGCAGTTTTATATATAAGTTTAGCAGTATTCTTTTTTATTTTTAGGACGTTTATAAGTTTATCATTATGAAAACCTGTTTTTACTTTATTCACAGTAATTTACTGAGGAAACATGTTTTTGTCATAAATAGCTAAAAATAGTTGTATCATCGAAAAATTTACATAACTAAATAACATTATACATATTACAAGATACGTACCACATAGATAACAAGATAATATTATGTCAAGTATATATTAATTTTAGATTAGATTGTCTATTCTAAAAAAACACAATTGTCATCCAAACAGGCCCCAAGAGTTGTACCTAGAAACAGATGGGGCAAACCCAATCGCATGATATGTCAAGGCAACCCATATACCAGACTCAGCCAATGAGACAGGCAACTGAAGCACAAAGATGGGCAACAAGAAGACCCATCCTGGATAAAGTTGGAGGTCCCTTTGCTTATAAAATACTGGCAAACGTAAGACAGTCATAGTAAGCTCTGTCATTCCATTGAACATGACAACCACTACTCCACAAAATATTGCCCCAAGATACCTGCAAATCACTATTTTGAATTAGTTTAGATTTCAAGGTATACGACCATTTGTCACAACTTCACCTACACACTTTTGGATAGTCTGATTCAATTTAGAAGCCCTATTGATAAAAACAATATTGGTTAAGCCACATAGTTTATGGATGCTCCTTTATGAAAAATGAAATTCTCATTAGGCATACGTTTCTCTTGGGGGGGGCTATCATTTGCAAATAAAAAAGAAAAACTGCAGAAAGAAGCAAATAATCAAAATTATAGTTTCTCATTCCTATACCTCACATTTTTGCTCTAGCTATTGAGGTAAAACTAAGTTCCTTTCTTTTTATTTTAAATAAAAATAAAAAAAGATCTGAGAGGCAGAATTTAATTTTACTTCAATTAACAAGAAGAAGGTGAAGGGAAAATTCCTATCAAAATTTTCTCGAAAGTGCAAAAGGAAAAAAATGAAATTAAATAAAATTTCGAGAAGAAAGAACTACACCTGTTGCCATCAGTGATGGAACCTTGTTTCATCGCAGTCCTCAAGAATACAGTTGTAACAATGGAGGCCATGATACAGATTTGGAACATCTTGAAGATGTGCACAAAGGAGTTTCTCTTCATTAGTAACCATTCCCTCCAAAAGCATGCAACAAAGAGCTGCCACCTCCGAAGGCCATATTTCCCTGAGACTAGGGCAGAAGGGTGGCTTTTTGAAAAGTCATAGGGACTTTGCAACTCCTCAGTTAGAAGCTCTCCCACGTGAAATGATTGGAAGGCCTCTGCAAACGTCGATACAGGAACATATTTATAGGGGCAAGTTGAGTTGGCCCAATATTGCTCTTGATCCATCTTAGACATCACCTGATTATATAAACACCCAATGATCGTGTAATTATGTTCAATACTGTTGATATTCTTTCCCATAATTATCACACTAAAGATTTAATTAAGAGGGAAAACAATTTCATCCCATCATAAAATTCAAATGGTATAATGTCTCAACATTTAAAAAATTTTGCAAATTTATGGAAAAACAAAGTTCCAAATGCCAAATTTCAGTAGATCATTGCTTATGCTAGACACCAGTGTTTCAAAAAGTGCTAGGCGGCCTGGGGGGTCCAGGCCGCCCAGAACTTGGGCGGTCCAGTTGAATCCAAATAAGGATTCTGCAGTGCAGTTATGTCAGTATCAGTTATATGTATTGTAGTACATAATTCAAATTATATTACATATTAGCATTTAGCACACACTCCATAACCATAACCATAATCCATAAGTCGGTTCATACTCTATATCTATAATCCAATTAAAACTTAAACTTTACAACCAACCAACCAAATTATCAAACCAAGTTATCAAATAGTATCACACCAGTACTGCAGTACACCACCATGAGGAAGAAAACAAAATTGAATTATGAAACTATGAAAGTAATACTTGAAGACTCAAAAGAATCTTCAACAGTTCAATACACAATACTTCAATCAAAATTCAAACTTCAAAGTTTAATAATTATTCAACAATCAACATTCATCATTCATTCATTATCAGAAAATCTTGGGTTAACTGCATTAGTATCATATTCATCAGAGTCGACGGAGTTGTCACCCTCCTCGATATATTGGTCATCCCCGTCCTCCTCCGTCTCTTCTGAATCAGCCTCCTCTTCCTCCATCCTTGTTCTATGTGCAGAAGATCTAATGGCCCTAAGAGGGTCAGCTGATGTCCCTGAAGCATCCATGACTATGCCCCATGTCAATCCTTCATGCATCTCAACCTCATCATCATCAAATAACCACTCCATAGCATGGTCCACATTTTTTGATCTGATGGGGTCTCTCTTATCTCTCTTAGCAAACTTGTCCTTCAAGAATCAATTGTACTTGACATAGACTAGGTCATTGAGCCTCTTTGATTCAAGCCTGTTTTTTTCTTTGTATGAATCTAACAAAATCAAATGAAACTAATTAAAATATAATATCTATGGTTCATGTATTATTTATAAAATTATACAAACTACCCTTACAGCCTTACCCCTTCAAAAGTACTCCAATTGCGCTCACAACAGGATGAAGAAGTGGTTAGGTTTAAGATCCGAATGGCCAACTTTGGTAAATTTGGAGAACTAAACCCATGTTGGCTCCACCAATGGACTGCAAAGATATAGAATAAAATCATAAATAAATAATAGAATTACTTGATTACTTGAACAGTTTGAACTTAAGAATAATATTCATTCCTGGATCAATTTTGGCCCTTTGCCTCATTGCCATTGGACTTCCAAAAGACTTTAATGAGCACTTGTAATTTATCCGCTCATCAGTGCATATAATATCCTGCATATCAGGATCAGGGTCTAGCACCTACACACTCATTAAATCCATTCATAATTGTGTAATTTGTTTGTATATCCTTGTCAATATAAAAAAAAGCTGTGTTCAAATAATAACCAGCTGCATGCAATGGCCAATGTAGCTGCCTATCCCACTTCTCATCAATAATCTCAAAAACAGGCTTGCAGCGAGTTTCTTCATCATTGAAATTTTGGGCTATCTCTCTTTTGCATTTCTCCATAGCATCATATATGTAGCCCATAGAAAGCTTGTCGCTATCAACCATGCGAATGACTTTGACAAGAGGAAAAAATACCTTCAAAAAGTCCTTCACCCCTCTCCAAAAAGCCTTAGAAAGTATAATATCTCTCACCTTCTTCCCAACCTGATCCTTAGACCACTTGCATGCTCTCCACTCATCTGAGATAAATATTTGTCTCAACTGCACTCTCCTCGAATGTATGCTATCTACACATAAGTACCAGGTAGCAAATCTCGTAACCCCAGGCCCCACAATCTCTTTCTTCTTTGTAAAAGTACGTATCATGCTGAGGGTGAAATGGTGGCTATAAATGAAATTTGTAACTAACTTGGCCTTCTTCACTGCACCTGATATCTCGGTTAAACCGCCAAGAGCCTCAAGCATAAGGTCTATATAATGTGTTGCACATGGTGTCCAAAAGATTCTAGGATAAGCTATACGCAACAAATTAGATGCAGCAACATTAGGAGCAGCATTATATGTGACAACCTGTACAATAAGATGCTCCCCAACCTTCTTGATTCCCTTCTCTATCACTTAAAATATGCAATGGGATGGATATGATCAGAGGCATCAATAGACCCCAAAAAGACAGTCCCTGCAGGACAATTCACAAGCAAATTCATCTGACTTCGTCTCTTCCTATTACTCCAAGCATCAGTCATAATAGAAACCCCATATTGAGCCCATGCATCCTTCTTAAGTTCTACAGCTTCCTTCGTGGCACTCACTGCCTTTTTTAAAAAAGGCTCTGAAAGCTCATATGGGGTTGGGGGTTTCTACCCTGGGCCAAATTGGCCAACTGCCTCTATTGCAGCATAGAAGCTGCTTAAGCGAGCGGTATTGAAAGGAATACCTGCCTCATAAAATCATGTAGCAAGATAATATGCAGCTCTATCTCTCTCTTCCTTCTTGATTCTATTTTCAATGGTGGTTTGTTTTTTTGTTTTCTCTCCTACAACCTCAGGGTCAGGCCGAGGTAAAAACCTCTCGATAGGGCCTCTAATCGGAGACTTCTTAGTCCCAGAACCAGAAGCAATTACAACTCCCTTCCCCTTTCCCTTAATAATGGATTGCTCAGACTCTTGATATCCCTCCATTTCATCATCACTATCATCATCATCAAAATTGACCCGAACCCCAGACCTACTCTCTACTATAGAGGCAAATCTCTCATCTTTTTTCATTTTCACCATGTTTAAAAAATTGTTTATTTCCTCTTTAACAGCATCAGGAGTCTTTTTACATGGGGCAACATTCCCCCTGATACCGGTAAGATGTTTCTTGAACCCGTTTATGCCCCTTTTTATATCCTTTTCACAAAACTTGTATCTTATGCAATTTTTATCATTAGGATCTAAGTTATAGTCATATTTCCAACGGGGATCACCACTCCTATTAGATCCCGAAGAAGACATCTCAAAATTAATGCAAATTACTAAAACAATAAAAAAAATCACTTACTTTGAGTTTGATTGCTCAATCTTCAAACTTCCACCTCAAAGATGTTTCTAAATACTCAAAATCTTCTAAAAAACCCTCTAATAACTTTGCAAAACATCAAAAAGTAAATTTAATATCAATGGGTGATGTTTTGATCAATTTTGCTAACTTTGAAAAACCCTCCGACCATAAAAAATTCATCAAAAACTAAATTTTTGGGGGCTTTCTCTCTCTAAAATTGGCTCTAACAAGTTTTAGGGTTCAAATGAATCTTAAGCCCTAATTTTTTGCTCTCAAAAACAAAAACAAAAAAAACCAAAATTGCCCCCACCGAAAATAATTTCCGCCCCTAGGCAAGGCGCAGGCCTTGGACCGCTGCCTAGGGCTGGGCGCTGGACGCCTGCCTAGGCGGGTTCCGTACCACCTAGGCGGCTGCCCAGGGATCGACCACCTAGATTGGCCGCCTAGGCCTGGGCGATGCGCCCAAGCCTTTCGGACCTCCTAGGTGGCCGCCCAAGCATTGGGCGGTCCGCTTTTTGAATCATTGCTAGACACACACACACACACAAATGACATGAATATTAAGGTTTTGTATTCATATTCAACCAAAGTCGAAACTTTGATTTTCCTTTATGCTCGGATAAGTTCCTATAAGCAAATTAAGATTGGGCCTGAAATGCCATGTTTAGATTTTAAGCTTTGGCCATCTGACAAGATAATCAATAAGGTCAAGAGAATGAAGAAATACAACACATAGTTCACCCAACTTTCAAATGACTGTCTAGGAAATCATGTGCACATGCATCTGCTAATTTCGGAAATATCGAGAAGTCCCAAACATTTGGGAGCCATGCCTAAGTTTGAGGAAATGACCAAATGTTACAGCAATGTTAGAAATTATCATAAATCCGACCTAATTGACACATTTACGAATCAAACCAACTTGACACTCTTAGAGATTCCCCAAACCAACTTGATACTCTTAAAGATCCCCCATTGCTTTATATCAATCAATTCACAGATCAACAGAAACTATGTTTCCAGAGGGAATAAAAATCAATATTTAAGTTCAAAAAACACCCAATTATCTTTTGCCAAGTTCTAACAAAAGACCCAATTCTAAAAGAGAATTTTCAAAACAATTGTAACATCTTGATCGGTTCAGCAATACCTCTTGGAGAAAGTCTGCAGTGCTTTTTCTATTTGGACACCTGAATCCCATAAACTCGAAGAAATCTAAAATCTTTTCACGAGGGCCTTGGTAAGCAATTTGACCTTCACTCATAAGGATGATTTCATCAAAAAGTTCGAACGTCTCAGGAGTAGGTTGCAACAACGATATGACCATCGTCACATCCATATTGTGAACGAGTTGATGTAAGTTCTCCATAATCTGAAAGGTGGTCGAACTATCTAATCCTGTCGATATCTCATCCATGAAAAATACTCTTGCTGGCCCAACCAACATCTCCCCTACCATGAGTTCAATGAGGACGGTTGAAATCAAAAACTTTGCCAAGTTACAAATAAAGAAAAGGATTATGCAAAAGTTAAAGTCAAGGCCAACTTGTTAAATGCACAAGCAATGAGTGTTGCTATGCTTCCTAGAATTCATGATGCATTTCATGTGAAATGTTTCATTATTAAAAAGGATGCCAACCCCAAATAGTTGTGATAAGGATCAGATGATGATGGCATAATTAAAGAGGATTACATGGTAATTAATTGGACTTTCTAGATAGATTGCATGCTTGTCGTGGCACTAGCCACACTACATACCAATACTTTCACATTTCGACACAATATCCTGTTGGGCAGTTGGTGAGCTATTTGATATTTCTTTTCATAAACAATCAAGATATAAATGTTCTATAAATTACAATTGTACTGTTTGTGTTCCATAAGGTATTTAAGTTTTGCTTGTGGATACTTCTCTCGTTCTTTTTATTCCTTATTATTCCTTATCCTTAACCATTTGTGCTCCATGTGAACCAAACATACCTACCTAAGAAAATCTTATCAGAAAAAAGCAGCAGCATGCCCCAGTCACATCCATTATGGTTCCAGCAATAATTAAGTAGACTGATTTATGTAAGTCTTTCTTGCTCTAATATTATTTCTGTTTCAATGATATCAAATTATTTTTGCTTTCCAGTTGGTGGAGTTCCAAAACTTTCACCAACTCAATTTGATACATTTTGGTTGTGTACAATACTACAATCCCTTTGCCATTGGATGGTAAACAATAATTCAATATCAAAAGCAATTTTATAGTTTTAAAATACACAAAGCCAAAAGAGACAGGAATTTAGCATGTGTACAAGTGGTTAAAGTAAATTTTGGGTTTTACCAATTGTAAGCCTTTTCTTTTGGCCTCCAGAAATACCTCTTCGCATCTCATTACCCACTATCGTATCAGCACAATTTTCCAAATCCAGAGTCTGTTTTTTATCAATAAAAAAATCTCGATTAGAGCACATAAAGATTATCAAATTCATTTTCTTTGCTTTTTTCTTGTGAACCCTTTTGTCAAAACATGAAATAAAAACACAGAACAAAAAATAAAGAATTGGTTTTTCTATTCATTTCTTGAAAGGATTACTATGGGAGCCATTAGAAAGAATGTAGTGGTCTTCTTGACCAATACCTTGAGAATATAATCAATCACAAGACATCTTCCTTGGTCATCCTCCAAGTTAGCCTGAAACATCAATAAAAGTTCAACTTTAAAAACCTTTTCTTCAATTAAAATAAAGAACAATTGAAATTAGAAGTGAAGCTTAAGAACAGTGAATTATAAAGAAATGCTGACCTTCATAAATGTGTCAATCTCTGGGTCTGGTGTGATACCTAGGGCCTTCTCTCTCCTGCATATCTCAGCTAGCATCTCTAGTGCACACAAGTTCAGATAAAGTCATTAGAGTGAGGCTTTAGGGGAAGACTTCCAGATAAATGCCACCCATTGCTGTCTCTCTCTCTCTCTC